TTTTCCCTTTTTCCCCGTCCCGTTTTTCCCGTTTTGGGGCCTTTTTTTTGGTTTTTTTCCCAGTCCCTTTTTGTTCATGGTAGACCCCCCCCCGAGAACCCCGTAGTTTGGTTTTCAATGGGGGGCCCCCCCCCCCCCCCGCGCGCCCTGTCCTAACATCCACACTCGAACCATATGCTCAACAGCGTTTTGGGGAGTCCGGAGTGTTTTTTTACCGCGGCCGTCAAAATTTTACTCCATGGCGCCACGAAAATACAACAAAACACGAGAGAGCCTGAGCGTGTTGTCTTTTGTAGTGGTTTTATCTTGGCGGTTGGAATTTGTTCGCTCAGTTGTGCCACTAGCACTATCCCGGCTTGTGCTCGTAGAGGTCGAAACGGCAATCAAAAGAGTACAGGAAACACATGTGGTTAACTCGAATTGGTGTCTACGCCGCGAATGGTATCTACGGCGCTGCCGTTTTCGATAGCTCGCTCCCAAAGACAGAGTGTGTCTCGCGAACTGTAGCTCACCCCCAACAAGAGGCAGGCAGGTGCAGGAAACCAACCTTACATCTGCTTTCTCGGTTAGTGGTGGCGTCCCTGCAGAAGGCAACATCACTTTGAATCCTGCTATTTTCGCACCAAGGCTAGTGTCCACTGTGGTGTAACCCAACAGCGACTGTAAAAGGTTTACCTGTGGGAGTCTTGAACTGAGCACCTGTTCTCATGGGTCAAGTTCTCAAGTTTCGATTGTTTTGTAGCCCAAAGGTCTTGTCTCCCGCGGGTCGCGGTGGGGCGGTCTGTAAATCGGAAGACAGTGCGGTAGCGCGGAGCTCCAGCTGCACCCCTCGCCGGTCCCGACTGCTCGTAATTGTGAGTGTTGTGTAATGCTTGGCCGACCCACCTACTAAATATAAACGTATAGGCGGCCGACGCGATGGAGTCGAAACGGTTGAAGCGACTGGAGAAGAACAGGGAGTCTGCCCGCGAGTGTCGGAGACGGAAGAAGGAACACAAGGAAAAGTTGGAGGCGCACCTCGCTTCTCTTGAGGCAAGTCTTAGGGTTAGGGTTAGGGCTTCTCTTGAGGCAGGTCTTAGGGTTAGGGTTAGGGCTTCTCTTGAGGCAGGTCTTAGGGTTAGGGTTAGGGTTAGGGCTTCTCTTGAGGCAGGTCTTAAGGGTTAGGATTAGGGTTAGGGCTTCTCTTGAGGCAGGTCTTAAGGGTTAGGATTAGGGTTAGGGCTTCTCTTGAGGCAGGTCTTAGGGTTAGGATTAGGGTTAGGGCTTCTCTTGAGGCAGGTCTTAGGGTTAGGGTTAGCTTAGGGTTAGGGTTAGGGTTAGTATCCCGAGCCCACGAGCGCTCTTCCGGCCGGTTTCCTACCCGACCGCTTGACCGTTTCGTCTGTCTTGCCTGCAGCACGGGCCCGGCGATAACTCGGGTCGAGGTTGAGTTTCATATTTCATCGCCACTGTTGAGCACAGGTTGTTGTATAGAGTTTAGTGCACGGATCCACCGTTGAGGTGTGTTTCTAGTCCCTTGTTTTTCTATTTTTCGTGATTGTCGTTATTGTAATCATCGACCGATCTAACCAGTGAAAATGGCCTAAGTCTCAGTGCGGCTGACGACAGAAAATGCTTCTACGTAGAGGCCATGATCTGGGACCCCGTGAGGGGGAGGCTAAACTGCTCTCCCGATTGATTGAAAGACATACAGCAAACGAAGAAAAGTGTGTGTGTGTGTGTGTGTGTGTGTGTGTGTGTTGCACGCAGGAGGAGAACCTCAACCTGAGGCTGCAGCTGAGGGTGGGAGACGAGGCGGAGGATGCGGAGAACGCGGAGATCTTGGAGATCAAGAAAGGTCTCCACGACCAAGTGGCGAGAGGGGTCGGGGAAGGGCAGATCCTCCAGACGATGGACTTGCTGACAGAGCGCTTCGCGGACTACGGCAGGTAGCACGTGCAGCTGGCAGCAAAGACTTTTGACGTGTGTTGGCTTCAGAAATACCGGCGGCTTGTCTCGACAGCGAGAGAAAAGGCACCGTTGTAATCTTCTAGTAAAACACCAGGTGATAAATTTTAGAAGAGAAACACTTGTTTTGCTGTTTTTGTTCAACGGTCAAAGCGTTTGTGTTTGTGTTTTTTTTATTATTAATTTTTTGTTTTTTTTTTAAGACAAGCACTTGTCTGGGTAGACCGCCCCAATACCTTACCTTGTTGCGCCATGAGATCATTTTGATTTCTTGAAAATGGCACTATTTATCCTGGCACGAACGGCGCACGTACCGACCCGATGCCCCCGCCCCCCACGCCCCTCGTGTCGCTGGACCAGTGCCCACACGTCAGCGGCCGATTTCCACCTGGCGCAGCTCTCTCGCTTGCTTCTGCCGACGCTGACCACGAGAGTATGCATGCATGCCGTGCTTCAAGCCGGCGGCAGCGGCGCCGGTGCCAAAACGGAACGGGTGGCGGGGACGGTTACCCCCGGGGCGCCACCCGCCGCGTCTGCCGACGGCCGTTCGGAGAACGCCAAAGGAGGGTTTGCTAGTGGATTGTCGGCGTCGTCGTCGTCGTCGGGCGACGCTCCCGGGGGGGATTCGTTGCTTGCGTCGGTCCCGGAAGACGTGGGGGAAGGTGCCCGGCAGGAGACAGCGGCGGCGGCGGCGGCGGCGGCGGCCGGGCTGGGAGGTTCCGCGAGTGCGACGGTAGACATGTGGACGTCGCTCGTTGCGCTCCTTGAGGTGTGTGGCAGGTTGCAGAGCGCGAGGCGTGTTGTTGTTGACTGGAGGTGCTGCGGCAGCCGCTAAAGGGGTCTGGTTTGGTGTTTGATCGGCGCGCCATTTAGGCGTTCATGGCGTGGCACATACCTAAGACTGTACTCCACTTTTACAGATTTTATGATTTTTTCCGGTCCGTTGAGGTTCGCTGGGCTCTTCGAGTCAAAAACACGTCAGCTGTGCGAGCTGTTCGAGCTTGGGAAACGTCGCTGATGGCACCTGGCAGCTGATTCACACCAAAATATTATTTGCTTTCATCTTGCATCACCGCTTGATGACATTTCTGTGCTCTTGATGAGCCCACTCCGAAGGCGCGCCTTGTACGATCAGCTGATCGGTGCGTTTCGTGTGGCCCGCGTGCAATTTTGGTTAGTTAGCGAGTGTAAGAAGGCAATGACCCAACCCCCCACCCCGGAAACCTACTTCGGCTGGGCTACGTGCCGCCACAGGCTACGCCTGAGCAGCAGGCTGTGATGCATAATCAGGCAGGAGCCATAGCGGACCTTGCGAGGGACTTAGAGGGGACGGAGGAAATAGTCGAGCGGTTGCGGCTCTTTCTGGCAGATCGGAACCAAACCCTTGATGGAGAGATGGCAGCGATTCAGGTGTGTGTACCTCCGTTTTTTTTTCTATGCATACACGGTGGCTGCGTGTGTGAATCGTTAGTGGGCCATGTTATGTACCTAATCATTGAGCAAATTGGTGTACTTACTTAGCCAATTCGGTGCACTTGGCCGACAGCAGGATTGTGAAGTAAAAACTGTATTTAGTGTGTTCTCAGCGACCTTCCCTCTATTGCCGGCAACCCGCGTACATGGTATCTCGATCGCCAATCCTGTCTTAATTTTTTTTCGTCTGGTTCATGTTTCGCACATAAACATTTCGCGTCGAATCTTGGTGTTCGTGTCACCGTTTACGACCACTTTGTCTCCTTGGGCATAGCCGGCGCTGGCAGCTGCGGTATCAATCGCAGAAGCAAGCCGAGACCATGTGCCGTCCGTCCATCCTCCCCCGCGCCCGAGGCTGCGGCTGAGCGAGACACCGCGTTGGGCAGACGTCGAGGACATTGCTCGTTCTCTCTCGAACTACTGCTGTGTCTTTGTGCCACATTCCTCCCTTTATGTTCTACGTGTTTGCAGAACACCCTGTGCTCTTTCCTACGCCCACACGCCCCCCCCCCCCCCCCCTCCGCGTATCCCCCCAACACGATCACCGCATTCTCACGCCGACGCAGAGCGCGAAGTTCGTCCTGTGGGTTTCAAAGAACAAGGCGTGCGTCCACATGCTGAACCAGCTCTGGGACAAGCTGCACGGCGTAGACCAGTCGCCGGCCGCGTGATTTTTGTACACAACAGCGTATGGGGGTTTCGTGAGGGCGGTGCAGCGGCGCACTCGCGTGGCTGGCTGGCTTGGCCTTGTGCTTTATCCCGCAGTACTAATGCCTCTTAAGGCTTTGGGTTGGGCGTGGATGATGGTTGGCCGGTACTGGTTGTGGTAGGTGGTGGTTGTGTGCCGCATGGTATCGGGGTGCCTGGCGTAGTCACTTGTGTGCGTAGTCACTTGTGTGTTTGTCTCGGGTTGCTCCTGCTCCTTGGACGTCGAAACGCATGTTCGTGGCGCAATGGTTGGGATGGGCCCACCTCTGTCTGGGGACGGTGTAGAGCTCGCTGCCCTCCCCACAACAAGTTGCTGCTGCAAATAGAAATCTAAGTACGGCTGTCGTGTGTGAAGTGGGCAAAGGTGATGTTATGCACAGTGTTCAGCACAATGTTCGTTTCCTCTTGTAGAAACCCCGGTGGCGGTGGCCGAACCATGACATGTGGTATCGCGCCAACGGGTAAACGTGGAACTGTGTGCTCGCTTCCTCAAGTATTGCGTTTTATAACAATCCGTTCGTGTGTTTTGGTGTGCGAGGGCCTGGCCAGGCTCAGGTGTAGAAGGGCGATATGCATACACCCTGGCGGTGATCGTCCAGATTAGACGTCGGCGGTCTGATAGGGGCTGAACACCGCTGGAAAGTGCCGGTTCATCTCTTCTACGTGTGCTGCAGGGTGTCTTGCTTGCCATAAATCAACCGCTTTCGTGCCGTATGTGTTAGGCCTCCGGCTTGCGAATATGCTATTATACACGCCTTTTAGCAAGGTGCGGGTGGCGGATCATATGGTTTTGTTGTATAGAGAATGAGGGGGGGGGGGGGGGGGGGGGGGGGG